TAAAAGACAAAATTTTCCTTTTGGAAGAAAATGCTTTCTAACATACCATTATAATGAATCATTTCCATCTGTCTATTTGCACTACATTTTTCAGTCACAACTAAAATTGATGTAAAGCTTAAACACTCTGTTAAAAGTAAAATGATAACCAGAATCATGACATCTAAGATACAGTAGCTGTATTAAAATTTAGACATTTAAAAATATGTTGACATTCTAATAAGAAGTTCAATTCCCTGCTGATTCATAGCACATCCAGCGATATCAGTCATAAAGTAAGAACAGAATCTACATCTGAGTGGTTCAAGCAGCACGAAATTTTCCGTCTTAATCAAAAGGTCATGAAAAATGTATGACTTCCAAAAATACATAATCGAAATGGGTACTGAATGATTTTTAACAAAACTGTAACAGATTACCATTCAATTGATTACCCAAATTATATGATATTTTGCTATTTTGTAGAAATAAGTGGTTGTAAAATAGCGTTCACTCATCAGTTGCTCAGCAAGATTTATGAAACATTTAGTTTGAATGGTGCAGAGGGTGCCTACAGTTTGAATAGGAGACACTTCACTGAATTAGTCAGTGGGACCTCATTGAAATGACTCAGCCCACAAAAACTCTTTTGAATTTGCTGAAGCTTCACAGTGTATACAAGTCAGAGCAGTTTCACGAGCTACCACATCATTGCTCTGCTGAAAAGTTGTAAGATACTGAAGACAACTATCCTTATACTGTCTCGGGTTTAAATATTTAATAAATTACCATAGGCTTCCTTTTAAGTGTCATGACTGTTTTCTTTTTCTTACCACAGTACTTAAGACACAGTGACACTAGGTGAATGTGTCTTGACAGAGAGAAAATACATCATCTACCACTGGTACTCCCCCTTGCATCCCCACTGCACCTGGAGCTCTGGGCTTTTTGTCTCTCTTAACCCTAACTCTAACCCCCGCCTTAACCCTAGGCTTCCCAGCATGGCCCAGAAGTAAGAATTTTTTGGGGAGATAATTCTTTTTCCTCCCTTCTGTGGAAGGCAGATGTTGCTACAAAAATGGGGTATTAGAAAGTATCTACGTATGTCTTAGGTCAACCTGCAGACTGCGTTGAGAAGGTCAATCTGCCCTTCCCCCTTTTGTGACAGGTGGATTATAAACACAAGCTTAGAGCTCTGGTCTACTCTTGACAGGTAAAGTCCCTAGGTAAAAGAATGTACTATAACAAAAGTAAATTTTCTAATCATGTGCCCAAATTATAGTTGGTTTGTATGTACTTTAAAGCTGAATTTCTGCTTTAAAGGAATTTTTGATTGTGAGAACTATGCCAATGTCACTATTTATAATGGCAGCATATCATTCCTAGGATAATAAAATGCATTATTTTACTTTCTTTCCAATCAAGTATTTCTACTTTATCAAATAGCTGAGGTTAGAAATACACGCTTTTGGGTCTTGAGCAACATTGAGCATTGCTAAGATCAGTAGCTACAATTTCTCAGTAAATTAATACCTATAAACTTTGTTACAGGAAGTGATCTAAGTGACAAAGCAAGCACTACAACAATTCCTTCTTGGAAAATGATATCATTCTTTAATATGAATGAAATTTTCCATACCCAAAGGAAACTTCAGTGAATGGATATATAGATATCCTCAAACCTTCTGAGTATGTGCTATAGCACATGGTAACTTCTACTAACAATGCCTATGATGGCATCTTGGTTTTTTCTGGGCATGTATGTCAAGCAGCTATGTATGTGATGCCTAATGAGGATAGTACTGTTGCAGGAATTACAATTTATGGGTAATTTATTTTGAATCATTGCAGTAAGAACACTATGCCCACATCTACTTCAACAGAAGAGCTTTTACTGACCCTTCTGGGGGCATGGCACAACCAAATCCAAGCATAGCAAAGTAGTGTGAAACGGGCCACAGCATGATGTCTAAAATGCCTCCATGAGTGACTGTGTGTTTATATGTATGCAAATGTCATGGAGGGCAATGCAGGCAAGAACTGAAATTTTGTGGTGATGATACCACTACTAACAGTTTCAAAACCAATCCTGTTTGCTCCCACATTTGCAAAGTGTGATCTAAAAGTACTCATGTTTCTAGTCATACTATTGTTTAGTGCTAATTTCTAACAATAGAAAAAAAGGAAACTCTTTGATCCATGCTGCATAAGTAAATGTCCCTTAAAAATGTTCATGTAAACAAAAATTGGATTACATTTAAACTATACATTTTCAAACAGACTAAAATGCTGCAATCAACCAGATGTTCTTGTTAATGGGTTTGCAGCTATTGACTTATGCTCCTTCTTGTATCAGTGACTGAAAGCTGATTCATATTATTTCAGAATATAATTTTTAAAGAAAATAATTCTTGAATTTACATAATTGCAGAGATTTGAGCAGGGTTATATAGCACAAATGCAAATAAAGATTTTTCATGGTGTAAATACAAATATTTTTTCTCACTGTATGCTGGAAACTCTGATGCCGACACATCAGAATATATAACCTCTAAACCCCCAAATATAAGTTTGAATTTTCTAAGAAAAATTTGTATGACAGCCTGAAGTGCTCTAACATCTATCTAAAGCACTTGTGTACAGCAACAGTCCTAGGAATGGCAAGATAATTGGCAAAGGCTTCTCAACAAATCCATTTCTATACTAGAGTATAAATACAAAAAGTCCTCAAAAGTCACAAAGAGTATCATCCAAACAGAACTTATGTGCAATTACTAAAAACTGAATAAGGTTATTTTTGTAATGTGTAGGGGTGTATATATACATGTATATGTATTCACAATCTGCTCTTTAAACACAGAAGAAAAAGGAACAGCTTGGTAAGGGTCATGAAAAAGTATTTATGTCTAAATGTAATACCCTTGACAAGGTGTCAAAGAGCACATGGTTGTCATATTGGGGTGCCTAGATGTAAACTGACATGAGGAAAGTCATACAGTCAGAGACGTTACATATGTGTTGGAATAGATGCTGATGGTGTTAAGTGGTATAGAAATACATAAGGTGCTACAGAGAATAAATTCCTAATGAGTTGTTGTAATAAATTGATGGTATTGCTGCATGTATCTGCATATTAAAGTGGTGGGTAGTGATGATATGCATAATTGTGATGGTGGGCAGACAGTGATAACAAGATGTGTGAAGAGTAGGAGATGATGGGTATGCCTGGTAAAATGAGTAGGTTGTAAAGATACATGTGTGATGCTGAATATAGTGGTGCTATAGGGAGCATATAGCAGCATATGCACTGTGGTGATATTTGTGTGATGTGGACCTGCTGTTCTTGGCAAAAGTAGGTGGTGCTCATAGGCGACAGTTTATGTGAAGAGGCGGGTTGTTACCCATACAGGTATGGTATGTTCACACATATAAGGGGCTACAGCCAACAGAATAAGTAAGCAATTCCTGAGAATTTTGTATGTATGCCTGTGCTGAGGGAGTGTTGATGCAGCAGGCAAGTGTGAAGGTGTGTGTACTAGTGAGTAAGCATGTCTGGTTAATACAGAATGGTCAGGTGGTAGTGGTATGTGAAAACTGATTAAGTGATTATGCATAAGAATGCAAGGACAGACTGTGTACACAGAACAATAGCATAGAGGGAGATATAAGAAAAATCTCCAGAAGGAGAGATGTATGGGAAGGTTGTAATCTTTTTTTAAAAAAAGGAAAGTATGCTCAGCAGGGTACAGAGATACAGTATTAGGACTATCTTCAGATGTTCATATGTATTTGGAACTGGTGATAGAGATGAGGCATATAAGGCATCAGTGTCTGCCTGGAGATGACAATATGAGTAACTATTGATGTATAGTTACCCTAGGCTCAGGGTGTATGGACAAAATAGCACAGTTTTGGTCAATGTGTGGAAGCAGTTTGTGTGTGTAGCATAGGATAAGTAATTTATGTAGTGATGGCTACATATTTGAGGAAGCAGTGAATGACTGGAAATGGTGCCCATGATTTGTGTCACTGTATAGTGCTGAGGAGGATTTATAGCCCCACCTTGTGTGGATACAATCCTATCAGGGATATGCATATGTTTTAAGTACAATATTAAGAGAGAGGGTTTTAGCACTGGTGAGGCAGCATGTGATGTTTAAGCTTGAAGTGATCCTGTGAGTGGAAGCAGTATACGAGGGGATACAAGAGTGGAGAGATGCTCTGTCTGCATACCAGCATAGGATGGTCTTGGCACCGTCATGGTGTAAATAGTGATGGCACACTGTAGTGTGCAAACTGGTCAGAGTACTGCTGGATGTGATGGACAGAGGCATGTACTGGGGTGTCAGAATAGGATGAGGGGGGCATTTTCAGGACAGAGTGTGTGGAGAGGGACAGGTCTGTAAAGTACTGGATACTGCTCCTATGTGATTTCTGGTGGTGATGGTAGGATAGGACAGTGCAGGTGGCGTGGAACTGTGTGGTGGTAGGAAGCATGGACAGTGTTTTGTGCATAGGTTTGAAGGTTATGTAGTTTGTCATAGTCAGTGCCATACCTGGTGACAGCACTATGGAGTGGGCACCGTGCATGGTGCAGTGACGTAGAGTGTTACAGCAGCTGCATAGACATGAGGTGTGCCTGCCCAGGTAATGCTGCCCACCCACTCATGATTCAGGCTTTCTTCTTAAAGGAGAAAGAATGACCCCTTTGACTGGGGTGCCCCTGACCTGGACCTAGGTGCCATGGAGGGGGAGCAGTGGAGAATGGAGGGGGAAGAGAGGATGGTGATCGGCGGGAGAGGGGGTCGGTGTGGGGTGGGGGAAACAATACTGGAGGGGAGAGCAATGCAGGGTCGGGGGGCATTGCACGGTGGGGGGACAGTGGGGACAGAGGACACGCTGCATTCCAGCAGCTCTGGAGCTGCCAGAGCTGCGAACAGCCGGAGGGCGGGATGGGAGGCGGGCGAGGGGAGTAGGGGGGTTGGGGGGTTGGAAGGGACACCCACTTACGTCTCCTCCCGCATTTTTTTTCTCTTTCCCTCCTCCTTTCCTTAGCTGGTGACGCGCCGCTGCTATTAATCATTCACCAGCCGGGAAACAGCAATTGCCGCCACTCGGAACGAGCGGCGCCGGCAGCCGCCTCCCTGCCGATGCCCGCGCCCCGCAACCGCCGCGCCGAGAGCCCTGCCGGGATGATGCCGAACCCGGCCGGCGGCGGGAGCCTGCTGCTCTGAGACGGGGCAGGGGGGTCCGGGCAAAGGATGCTCCCCAATGGCACCTGCCCCAGGCTTCCGGGCGGTGCAGGCAGCGACAGCGGCGGCAGCGACAGCGACAGCGGCGGCAGCGACAGCGGCGACAGCAGTGGCGGTGGAGACGGCGGCGCCTCGGAGGAGGCGGCGGCAGGGGGCATGGACTCGGGCGGCAGGAACTCCTCTGGAGCCCCGAACAGCACCCTGAGTGAGTCTCAGGGCAGCGCCATCCTCATCTCATTCATCTACTCCGTAGTGTGCTTGGTGGGGCTGTGTGGCAACTCCATGGTCATCTATGTGATCCTACGTTATGCCAAGATGAAGACGGCCACCAACATCTACATCCTCAACTTGGCCATCGCGGACGAGCTGCTGATGCTCAGTGTCCCCTTTCTGGTTACCTCCACCCTGCTGCACCACTGGCCCTTTGGCTCACTACTCTGCCGCCTGGTGCTCAGTGTGGATGCCATCAACATGTTCACCAGCATCTACTGCCTGACCGTGCTCAGTGTGGACCGTTACATTGCTGTGGTGCACCCCATCAAGGCGGCTAGGTACCGCCGGCCCACTGTGGCTAAGATGGTCAATCTGGGTGTCTGGGTGCTTTCCATCCTCATCATCCTCCCCATCATCATCTTCTCCAACACAGCAGCCAACAGTGATGGAACGGTGGCTTGCAACATGCTCATGCCAGAGCCCACCCAGAGGTGGCTGGTGGTCTTTGTGATCTACACTTTCCTGATGGGCTTCTTGCTGCCTGTAGTGGCCATCTGCCTCTGCTACATCCTCATCATTGCCAAGATGCGTATGGTGGCCCTGAAGGCTGGCTGGCAGCAACGCAAACGCTCAGAACGCAAGATCACCCTCATGGTCATGATGGTGGTAATGGTCTTTGTCATCTGTTGGATGCCCTTCTACATTGTGCAGCTGGTCAATGTCTTTGTAGAGCAGGATGATGCCACCATCAGCCAGCTCTCTGTCATCTTGGGCTACGCCAACAGCTGTGCCAACCCTATCCTCTATGGTTTTCTCTCAGACAACTTCAAGCGGTCCTTCCAGCGGCTGCTCTGCCTCAGTTGGATGGACAATGCTGCAGAGGAACCCATCGACTACTATGCCACTGCCCTCAAGAGCAGGGCGTACAGCGTGGAGGACTTTCCCCCAGACAACTTGGAGTCAGGGAGCATGTACAGGAATGGCACTTGCACCTCCAGGATTACCACCCTCTGAGGAAGCATTCCTACCCCCAGCTCCCCTACTGCTCCCAGGTGGAGGGTGAGAAGGCCAGGGCTGTGGTGTGGGGAGCTGGGAGGGAGGGGACTTCAGTCCTGCCCACCAACAGCAGTGTTAGGCACAAGAAAGAGCAAAGAAAACCCCACATCCTTGATCTGCTGCCCCCCAACCCAGGGAAGCAACAAGGCTGCCTCCCTTGAGAATGGGTATATTTGCTGATGCTTTGATATCCACTTAACAAATTATGGCTCTTGTGGGTTAACTTAGGGTCTGGCAGCCTGGGGTCTGCAACCCCTCTCTGTGTCTGACAAATGGCTGTACAGGTCCTGCAGTGACTCTCCCACCACCTTTTGTACAGGTTGCCCTTCCCCTTGGCTTGTTGGGACCCTCCAGGCCACTGAGTTGAGCCTGCCTCCATCAAGCCCAGCATCCAGGCTCAGACTCCCTCTGACTGAAAATGACCCTGCTCAACATCTGTCGGTACGTGCCTCCCCCATCAGAGGTTAGAAATGCTGGAAAATGTCCCCCAACACACATCTTGCCCTCCCCCAGGAAGGAGCAAGTAGCCTCTCTCTGCACCTACCCTTCTCTCCCCCTGGAATAAAATAGAAAGCAGGAAGGAAGAATTTTCTCCCCCTAGAAAATAAGCAACATAGTCATGGAGCTGTTTTCCACCTCACTGGGGCTATACTCAGCAGAAGCCGAAGCAGAGCAGAAAAGGTCTTAGGAAAAAAATCTGATTATTGCTGTGCTTCAGAGCTGCGCGGCAGGTTGCTGATAGTGGGAGATAAACAGTCCTGTGACTCACAGGGAGCAGAGCAGTGAGCCAGGAGTTGGGGGGGGGAAATGCCAAACTGGAAATGTTTGAATGTGTCCATACATACAATAAAGTGTGCTAATAATAAAGTTTAAAGAGAGCACTAGACTGTGAAACTGCTGTCTTGCACCTGCTCCATCAGCTGCAAAACAGCAATGAAGGGAGCTGAGACAGTATTTGAGTCACCTCGGTGGCTGCAAAGTCACTTTAGCCTACATGGAAAAAGAGGGATCCATTTCAAAATCTCCATCTGGATCTGAAATAAATACCTGACAGAAAAAGTAGCTGTTTGGTAATAGCTATTACCCTAGCTCCAGTTTCTTCTGTTGCACTACAAAATATAAAATGTGTTTCGTATGTTGCCAATGTAATATACTGATCCACAGTTTCTCAATGTTTCATTTCTGAGAATTCTTGTTTTTAGTGTGTGCTGGACGTCTTGTTTGATTTTTTATTTTATTCTTGTCACTGTGTTGTGAACGTGTTTTTCTGAAGCAATTTATACTTTGTACTTATGTCTATGGTGGCTACTTGCAAGGTTGCATTTAAAATCCATGATGCTCGAGAAGGCTCCTTTTCAGATAAAAACATTGTCATTTTTCCTAATTCTTTCATCTGCATTGCCTCCCCTCAGAAAATCCTCTCTTGAGTTTTCTCTCTTCCCCTCTTATGACAGAACAATTTTCATATAGACAAATGAAGCTTTCTTTGATAAATGACAGCTGATTAAACAAAACCTTCTGTCCCTGCTCCCTCTTATCCCAGACATAAGAAGCAGTACAGACTGTGTTGAAACAAGCAGCTATGTTTTTTTGCTTTCCACCACCTATGCTAACAGTGTCACACAGTGGCAAGTGTCCCAGTAGCTGTGACAAATCACTTCTCTAGCACAATACTGTGGTTGTATTAATTATAACTACTGGCAATCTGATGCAAGAGATTGGGAAAAAATCTCTAGTAGCAGCATACCCATAGCATTGTACATGTAGCTACAGTGCTTAAGTACGGTGTTCAGGGTAAGGCTGACAGTTAAGGCATCTAGGATTTGTGGTGGTGGACTTACTACAGGGTTTTGTTAAATTATACCCTTTAACTTTTCTCAGCAGCAAAAAGCAGGATACTACTTTTAGGTACTGTCTAATGAATGTATAAATTTAGTATTTCAAAGTTGTCTGATTCAAAGTCCATAAAAATGAGAGAAAAAAATCCTAACTCACTTCAATGGACTTGTGAGTCAGCTCCTTTGAGTTTAAAAACTGCTAATGTGGAAACTGTTACATCTTTATTAAAATATTTCATTATAAGCTTTAATAATTGTACAGTTTCTTTTATTTCACAGTGGATGTTATTTAAAGAAAACATGCAAATAATAATTTTGGTAATATTTTATATGTACCTATGGAGAAACAAGGATGAAATCTCTTTATAAGATTTATATTTCATTTAATTTTCACAGAAATCAAACATCTGTCAAAATACAAAAATGCCCTTTGATACTCTTGTTGGCCCTTAGTAGGGCTTCACTTAAATTATCACTCACAATATCTTCAAAGTAGTTTAAATCTCGTAATCTGATGTGATCTTTTTCACTCAGGCATATTCTTATGTATGGTCAGATAAACAGAGAGTCAGTCTACTTTCTACTGTTGAATTTGTTTAATGTCAAACACAAATGAAGCAAAAGTTAAAAAGCATTAAGATTCATACCCCACACTCAGCTTTGATGAAAAGTTGAACTGGGTTTTGTCCTTTTATTTATTTTCTTTCCTTTGCCTGTAAACAAGGTTGTGATGGATGACTGCACACCTACCAGCATATGCACTTGAATTTCAGTTCCCCAGGCAGATCGCAGAGGTGGGGTATTCACAGCGGCGGTGTGTGCCTCAGTAGATGGCAGGCTTGCGCTAATTCACTCCCAGCCACTACCACTATGATTACTGGCTAAATTGCCCTGTGTGGTTTCAGCTGGAAACAAAATCTGTTTATCCCAAACTAACAGTTCTTCCTGTTATTTTTCACCCTGGGAGAGGTGATCAACAGCAGTAAATCACTCTTAATTTTGCCAGAGAGAAAGTTGGTTCATTCTGTGTTATTATTCTAAACAAAAGTACCAGGAAGAAAAAAAGTTGTCCTCCTGAAATAATATGTACCAGAAAACAAGCAGAACTTTTTAATGCTTTCCATCTGGGAAATAAGACTATTCAGATTTCATATGGAAATTATTTTACCTAATGCTTAATTCACTGGAAAAAAAAGAGTACAGTGATGTATTTCTTGCGACATTTTGACTCTTCATACAGCTATAACATCATTAATCTGCAAGTAGGTACACTGTAATTTGTAACCAGTAGTATGTTTTTTGCTTTTTCCCCATGAGTTTTAGTTTACATTTAAAAAATACTGCATTCATTCTGTCATGGAAATAGGCCCCATGCTGCAGAAATCCAGGCAGACTTTTGTTCTTATTTAGCCTGAGACCTATACCCAGCAGAGGGACAGCTCCAAGCAGTACCTAGAGAACAGACTATTTCCTGTGGCACACATAAGGGAGAGTGGCCTTCACATGGAACACACATCAGACACCTCTACAGCGTTTTCCCACTCATAGGAGGGTGGTACAGGAAATTATTCTCCTTTTTCACCAGGCTTCCCAGCACAGCAAAGACGACACATCTCATAATCATTGGGCTGACTGTTACATATAGTCAGTAAGTTCAGTAAGTTTGAACAAGGCTGGTCACAGAGGCACTTTATATCTGAGCTATGGATGAAAAAAGTGGCTGCATACAGATATTCTGCCTCTTCATGTGATCCCTACAGCAGAGAACACACACTGTATCATTTCTTGGCATTCAACACTTAACCCATCTGATTTCTTCAGAAAGAAGCAAAATCAGGTTTATGAATGTGACTCAAGACTTTCTGAAATGCCAGGTTTCCAGGGTATCAGAATAAAATAAAAGGCTTTCTGATTGCTTCTGAAAAACTAAAAATCTTCATTTCTAATGTATGTGGCATGCTTTATTAACACTTTGACTATTCACTGTATTTAAACCAGTTTCCAAAAATCAGAATCTTAATTTTATATACCAAACCAAATCCTACTGAAATAACTCAGTGATATCGTACATTCATAGGACATGTAAGATTTGATTTTACTCTGCCATATTTCCAGAACAACCATGACAACTAATTTCTTATAACCCTGATCAAACAACAGAAAAATCCAAGAAAAATTATTTTTAAAAGTCAGAAGAAATTAGCCAACAAAGAAGCATCGATCCAATGTTCTAGACTCAGTGATTTCAGTCCCTGGGAAACTTACTTGACACTAGGGTCTACATACCATGTGAATTATGAATCTCTAGAGGAGAATAAAATATTTCTACTGAATTGTGTATTCAGCACTTCCATCTTCTTCAATACAGGTCTGATAACTGCAGGATAAGCCACAGGAAGAAAGGATAATTTACTAATTAGATTTCTCTCTAAGAATAATGCTTTTAGATATTACATATTGTAGACAGAAATGGCAAAAAAAATCCAGGTGAACCAGAGAGTATTTCAAAGTATATCACTGAACAAATCAAACACAATTTTTACAAGAAAGATGCTTTTCAACAAAAGGTAACTATGCCCACTCCCTTCCAGCTTTGTTTCTCCAAAAGCCTATAATCTGAGTCTGGCAGAGTAGCAAGGAGATATGAAGCAGACACAGCAAGGTGCTTTGTTCCATCTGAGATATACAGGTTTTTGGTCCAGTCTGGATGGAATACATTTGTCATTATGTGATTATTGTGTCTATATGGGTAGAGTCACCAAGAAACAATATAAATGTACAGGAAATCGATTCTACTCTCCATTACCCCCCCCCCCAAAAAAAAAAAAATAAAGCCTTCTCTCTACAGGTTCTTACACTGTGTAATATGACTGAGAGTTGCCTTGTGGATTCTTGAGCTTCCTCACTAGAAAGACTCAAATAATGCGTAGCATAGGAGAGTTGTAGGACAGATAACAATTACCAGATTTATGACTTGGGATCTGCTGACCACCATGATGAGCACTGGAATCGGACTGTATTGACTCTGCTTACCTTGTTGGTGATGGTGCTGTTCTCAGTGTACACGTGAGCCCTACCAACCCAGGGGGAAGCTGTGAACTTCTGCAAGGATGCTGTAATGCGCTGTACTTCATAAAGCTGAACAATGCTGAGCAATGCCAGTGCCAGTGCCAACAGACTGAGTAAAGCCTCAAGTTCAATTCATTCACACAGCACTTGCAGGTATTTAAATCCACAACAGCAAGCTCAGGTGACTGCTGGTCAGCTGGAGTGGTTCAAAACATGGCAAGGCTGTACAAAGCAAGAATGTGTGAGTGTATACACACACACAATGTGCATGCATATATATATACATATGCTTCCTTCTTGTATCATATATAAGCATATTATTTCTTCAGTTATCCAACACGTAACAGGATGAATTAGAATGTATATTGGTTATAAAGGAATTAATGATAATCAGAATTCAGATTCCAGTTGCTTGACAGGTATTTAGGCAATAGTCAGTCTCTGTTTTATTAATTCTGATATGGAGGTAAGTCCATGGCTGGAGCTGGTAGAAGAAGATCTTGGAGAAAAAAAAAATGACTAGTGTTTGATTTAGAACTAGAGCAGCTATATTTGGAGATATCCCTTCGATATTCAGAAAGTTTGGAGCTTACTAGGACTCAGTGTGAGCTGCAATTGCCCAGCACTTCAGGAAATAACTATCCAAAACTACTATATGGACCAAGCACATCCTTCCCCCGTCAGAGAAGAAAAACACTTCCATCTGAGGTCTAAAACAGGAAACTAATGCAAGCTCTGATTAGGGTCTTTTCACTGTTTAGTTAGGTTAAATATGTTACAATACATTGTAAATGTATACAAAAGTGCACTGTCTATCAGAGTACCCACTAAGGGCTGGGGTTCTTATTGCTCTCTGGTTTCTGTTAAAAACAGACATAGATGGATCTTGCCCCTTTATCCAAGTCAATGAAAGGCAAGTCAAAAGGCAAGAAAAATTTGAAAAGCACTGCTTTATTGAGTAGAAAATCAATATCAATATAGTGAGTTTATTTTCCTAACATCTCAGAAAAATTATTTTTATATGATTTGGTCACAGAAAGAAAAAAAAATTTTATGTGGTAAACTTACAGTACAATACCCTATATATTTTATGGGAAGAAGCTATGTGTGTGAGGGACAGGTGGGGTTTTAATTGTCCCTGTTGTTATTCCTCTTATTTATGGTGGAAAAGAAAGTGGAAGGCTTTCAGGGTTTTATGGGATATCATAGAAGAACAGGCAAAACATTCAAGATATATGCATATCAGGGCAAAAGACTGGATATTTGGGGCAAATTAATATGAAAGAAGGCAAAACTGATGGATATTTGATACTGAACAGCCTTAGACAGAAGGAATTTGAAATGGAAAAAAATCAAGTGTGCAATGCTTAGGAGAGGTAATTTTGTTAATAAAAGAGGAAAATAAATGTAGTCCAGTACAGGCATTGTAAAGTAGGACTTGGCTCTTTTTTTTCATTATTAATTTAATTGTTTAGGGTACAACAAATACATAAACTCCCAACTCACCAAAAAATGTGAATGTCTCCTTTTTACATCAACTGTTATTTTCAAAGCTGCTCTTTTTGAAGGTTAGAAAGTATATAAGCATTTTTTTCTAAGAAATGATAATTTAAGTACTTTATGGGATGACTAGAAACATTGGAAAACAAGGCAGAAACAGAGAGATAATATATATTTTTTGAATGTTAATTTATTTCAGATTTTTCAGATGCCTTGAATGTCATGGATTTTTTTCTTCCTTTTATCATTAAAACAGAGAAAAAGACCTAAGAAATTTTTGCTCAACACCAAATATTGACAAGACAGAAATGGAATACAGAAGCATTTTCACTGCTCTTTCAACTTCACAAAGTAAAATTTACTGACTTTCTTACTTCAAAAGCATGTTCAGTGTAATGACTTGGAAAACTGTTTTCTGTAAGAGAAAAAAATCCCAGCCTCTTAAGAATGAAAAGGAATGTTCATGCATTCCTTTTGACAGACCTCGAAACTCTGAACTTATTTTAGCAGGAAGGCACAGGTTTACATTCCCAAAATCTAATCCACAAAGGATTGAAAGTTTCAGTGTACTCATTCAAGAACCTTTCATTAGAACTGAGAGCTAATTCAAATAAGCAAGTAAATAAACTCCATAAACAGGGGGGAAAAAAATCTCCTGATACATTCACATTTGTGGAAAAACACCTCAGTCGTATTTGGACTTAAATAGATTTTAAAGTCCAAAGAAAGACTTCTCCTGAACAGACAGAATTTTGCTCCAAGAAACTATTCCCACAGTCTCAATTTTTACTAAGAAAGAATATTCTCTATAAATGTATAACAGTATATGCCTAGGTTAAATTTTAATACAAAAGAAGAATATACATTTAAACCTAAGTCCTTGTCTTTTACTGCAGCAAAGTTAACTTTAAATGGTAAGCCAGTAGGACATTCTTGTGAGAGTTTTAAAGTGAATTTATGGAATTGCAATGGATATTAACAGCATGAGTGAGGTAAATTTATCTGAAAGTAATGAAATCTTCCTCATTAGTACCTGCCAGAAGTATAGGTAAGTAAAAGAGAACTTATGATGTAAAAGTCTGGGATATGTAGTAATATAATGCCATTAAATATAGGGGAGAACTGACCATAATGCACATTGTATAATATTAATAGGTGGATGCTCATGTTGTATATTATCTTCATATTCCTTTAAACTTCAGAATTTATAGAAGAATGAAAACCAAGATTGTTTTACTTAGGAAGACTAATGCATGTGTTCTTATAATTACTTATTCTCTTAGGATATTAGAATTGCTTTAATGGACCAGAATCTGCATTATCATCTTAGTGGTTGGGTATAATTGGAAGGGAAACAATTCACTTGCAGTGCCACCAGTAACACTGCAGAGTTGGGAGGGTTATTGCCATGAAATCTAGGAGACTTATGTACTGACAAAAAGCTGCATGCACGACTTACACACTATTCATTACTTGCTCAGAGAAGAAAGAATTTAAACACAGATATATTGGGTTGCAGTTCTTCACAAATTGCTCTTGTGTGGGTTCTTCCCATGGGGTTCAGTCCTTCAGAAACACACTGCTCCAGCATGGATCCCCCGTGAGGTCACAAGTCCTGCCAGCAACGCTGCTGAGCATGAGCTCCTCTCCCTGCAGGTTCACAGAGCACCTGCTCTAGCACGGGCTCCTCTGTGGGCTGCAGGTGGACTATCTGTTCCACATGGACCTCCATGGGCTGCAAGGGCACAGCCTAGCTCACAGCCTGCAGGAAAATCTCTGCTCTGCTGCATGGAGCACTTTCTCCCCCTCCTTCTTCACTAACTTTGGTGTCTGCAGAGCTGTTCCTCTCATATATTCTCACTCCTATTGGCTAAAGTTTCTTCTGTGAAGCTTTTTCCTCTCTTCTTAAGTAGCTGCTATCACTGCCAGTGACTGATGGCTTGGCCACAGCCAGCAGTTAGCTCTGTTGGAAATTGGGGAATCTTCTAGAAGCTTCTCACAGAAGCCTTACCTGTAGTTGCCCCAATACCAAGACCTTGCCATACAAACTCAGTCTAACAAACAACAAAACAATTGTTTTTTGTGGACCGCTATCATGAGAGACTGACTAAATTTTCAGATATGTTTAATAATTTATTCTTGGCACAACTAGTAAGATAACTCACACAGAAGAAACAGATTCTAATTTTGTCTTTAGAAGAGGACATTACTTGGCTGACTACAATGTACAAAAAAGGAACAACTTTGAGTATAAAAGCTAAAAACATTCACTATGCTAATGTTTAATTTCGAAGAAGGGAGGCAGTATATAAATTAAGATGGATGATAAAAAGAAATAAAAGGAGCAGCTAAAGGGTAAAAGCTTGCAGGTGGCACCAGGACTATTTACTGATATTACAGATTCAGACTAAACATCTACTACCTATCAAAAGAAGATAGAAGAGCTCTTTCCCCTCAAAAAATCTAAAAGGTTAAACAATACATGACAGAAAAGGATGTAATTTAAAGTTGAAGTCGTGCAAATAACGAAAACAGAACAAAAGGTGAACTTTAGCAAATAAACAGTAGCATTTTAAAGCAGGTCAAAAAACAACTATTTGAGGAACATTTGCATAAACACATAACAACTACCAATGCCAAATTCAGTAGAGCAGGAAACCAACCACTGTACTTGCTGCTGGTGAATGATGATCGTATTTCAGAGTGTTTCTGGAAGAAAGGGCCATGAGGAAAAAGCCATGAAATCTTATTGCCTCTGTTTATTATAGACTTTTTTTTTTTTTTTTTTTCACTGTGAGGAGACCTGCTAGAGGCCCACAGGGCTCTGTCCTAGAAACTGTCCAGGTCAAATTTCTTATAAATTATTTGGAAAAAAAAATGAGGAATAATTCTTATAAAATATCAGCACAGTTCTCTGCAATTGTCCAAAGAAGCAAATGGTTATATTTTAAACTTTTAAAACCCAGAAAATACTGTTAAACCATCATAGAAAACTATACTGTACCAACATCTCTAAAAGTTTCTAAATATGGATTTTACAAGAAATCTAATAGTATACAAAGAGGTGCAAAAAAAGGATAAGAAAACATTTAGTTCCATAGAATTATTTCTGGAAAAGAAGAAACTAAATAGACTCCTCAACTTGTGAGAGAGATGAATAAAGGACTGCATGGTAAAGGTATGGGAAATTAAGATGATGAACTGGTCTACTTTTTGATGTGACATGTAAAAAAAATTGTGGAATTGATACAGGATGGTTGGATCCCAAAACTAATAAATCAAATCCAAACTCTGTTAGACAATTTGATAGAAGTTGACCAAGTGTGACATGAACTCACTCTTCAACTCAGTCTTTCAACCTTAGAGTACCCAGGAGAAGTGTCACTTACAGATATCAGATTTCCTATTCTATTTCCTAAAGCATTTACTGTTGTGACAGAGGCATTACAAACTTAGATAACTTTGAATCTCACTCAAACTATATGTACTTATGCTCCCGTGTTAGGTTCTGGGGAACAGTGTATACTCTTCTTATCAGTCCAAAACACAAGCCCTGCTGGTTAGATTCCAAAAACAAAACCATGCTCTTCTGACATGTTACAGCCCATGTGCTGTTCCTGGCTTAATGATTGAAAATGTTCATTTGTTTACAAACCATCACATTTTGAGTAACACCTGAAAAAATATGCAGCAAGAGGATGGCTAGGATGGATACATCCTCGTAAAGATGGTTGCTTGCCTGTCTCCCTCCTCGGCTCATCTTCTCCCTGGACCTGCAGGCTTCTTGCTATTTACATTATCCATAAAATACATAATACTATTGTTTTCCCACCATTCTGACTTGAAATGCCTAAGGACTGGCAGGTAGGAGGAGGGAAAAGACATAATACATGCAGGACCACCAGTTCCACTGCTGCCTACAGTGAAGGAGCCCCCAGCTGGAGTACTGTGCTCTGCTCTGCAGCCTCCAGCTAAGAATAGTGTGGACCTGCTGGAGAGAGTCCAGAGAAGCCCACAGCGATGATCACAGGGCTGGAGCACCTCTCCTATGAAGACAGGCTGCAATAGTTGGGGTTGTTCAACCCAGAGAAGGTTCCAGGGAGACCTTATAGAAGCCTTCCGATATCTATAGGAAAGCTGGAGAAGAACATTTTACTAGGGTGTGTAGTGACAGGACAAGGGGGAATGGCCTCAAACTGAAAAAGAGGGTAGGCTTGGATTAGATATTAGGAAGAAATCCTTTACTGTGAGGGTGGTGAGGCACTGGACCAGTTTGTCTGGGAAAGTTGTAGATGTTCCACATCCCTGGAAGTGTTAAAGGCCACGTTGAATGGGACTCTGAGCAAACCCATCTAGTGGAAGGATGGAAAATAGATGATCTTTAAGGTCCTTTCAGTCCCAAACCATTCTGTGATTCTACAGTTCTAGTCAGCAATACAGAAAAGGAAAAAGGCTTCCTTGCCAACAGAGGACTCCCTCTTCACATCCACTTTCCAGTCTTCCTGTTCCAGACTCCAAGTCCAGAGGAGAAAGGCAAGGCTGCATACTGGGGGGAAGAAGGAACGACAGGAAGCTAAACCTGTTTTGAAGCCCTGGGAGTGTGCTTACTGCTGCTGCCCAGCTGTGTTTGCCTTTCAAGTCAGTTTATATCATTAGTGAAATATATGAATCACCACTGTACAGCCTTGATAAATGTCCACATACTGAAGAAACAGAAAATAGTATTTCTATAAGGAACTAAGTTGCATCTACCAGTGATTCAGCTCCATGTAATAAATGAGGAAAGACATATTGGGACTGAGAACACAAAAAAAAATTAAGTGAAAGGAAATTACACTTCCTGGGGGAAGCACAGAATCCATTAATTTTTAAAATCTTCTTTAAGCTATATTCTACACTTAAAACAGGAAAAAAGTTATCTGAAGTACTTGAATTTCATCCATGTCCACTTTCAGATTTCACTTTAATCCCATAGCACATTTAATTAAGCAGTATAGAATATTATTTAAAAAATGTGGGGAAATTAAAATTTTTGTTCTGATTATTTGATGAATACAAGCCATTAAAAATTCACCACATGTTCATAAATAAAATGTGCAGCTGACAAATGGTGTGTCTACCAGTCAAACTATCTTTGGAGGAATTAAGGAAATCTAAAAATTAGATTTAATAATTGGCAACATGGGACACTTTTCAGGTAACTGCTATAGACAAGAGATCTGGACAAGAGATCTGAATCCTACTGTTTGCAGGAACTACGATTTTAAAATGTGGACTCACAGATTCTTTCATTCACCATTTCATTACCATGGTGTTATTACATCCAATCTTCAAGTCTATGACACTATGCATTACCACAGGGAATTAATAATTTTTTAAAAACCTCACCTCATCACTAGAATTGAAATAACTGAATTATTTTAAATCCTCTGCACAAATGTATCCATTCTAAAAATAACAGAATACAAAGTTTATATGTGATTTATATGGCTTTAATATGGGGTGACATAATGTTTTTCCTATACTAGAAAAACAGTTGCAATATAATATGCTTGTATAATGCTCAGTCAAAGGACATGTATGTAATATAAGGGAAAAGGTAAAGATTTGTCTCCATCTCTGGTACGTTTGGAAAAATATTTACATTCAGTCACATGTTTTACATATGGTATTACAGTTAAGAATTAAAAGAAAGTTGCATCCAATCCAATCTCAGTTCTTGTTATGATTATCTTTAGTCATTATGACCTTAGTTATTCTCCTCCTATGGATGTAAACAGTAAACCTTGCACTGAATCTGCCTTGCAGACCACTGAATAATGGTTATGAATCAATAATTTCACTACCTTCCCTGCACCCCAAAAGACTTGGATGGATCCAGTTAGTTGTGTCTTACTGCACTCAGAAAACCTTGAATCAATATTTAGCATTACCACTTTAATTGAAAAACAACACCATAATAATAAGAAATGAGCATCAGCACTCTGAACTGCAAAGAAAGCAAGTTCTGTGGCCAGGATGAAAGCTGCTCTACAGGAATCCCCAAGGGAAATCACAGAGGAAGTGTTTACCTCATTTAACAGGGGCACAAATGGCGAGTATTTCTTTCCTTACTCTCAAGGGACACCGCGGAAAATAATATATCTGACTAAAAAGAATGAGATTTGCATGATGCATTTAGACTCACGTTAACTTCTCTCACAGTATGGTGTGTCAGCACCTTGTCTGATTGTAAGGGAGCAACATATTGCATACAGAAAGCAAATTTTGTACCAACACAACTTACGGGAAAAACTTTGTCCTCTGCTACAATAAAAAAATCGTATTGTATGAAGTAAAAAACAGAGCAGTGATTTAGCTTTTATGACATCCTTTATTCATTAGCTGAAGTATAAAACTGACTCCTCATTAACCTCCTACTGCCTTAGCAATTTAATAACCTTTGAAGTATAGAAATGCTCTTTCATTTTCAAGAATGTTAAGTATGAAAGAGTATGGGTCACAGTTTCATCCAAAATTATGGCAGTTCACCTCTCCAAACGTTCCAGCAATTAGAAAGAAAATTAGAGTCTCCAAGTACCACTCAGGGAAGGAGTGACTTCTAAATTACAAGATGCAAGTGCTCAACGTGGTCCCCTTTATGCTTGCTCTAAGTAAGGCACTGAATGAAGAGGTTTTGAGAGGATAAAAACCCATAACTGTTGCAGCAGCAATGGCTCTGTCGGCTAGGATGACATATTTATATTTCACTTATGTCAGCACCTAAATAACTGTTTTCCAGACGGCAAGAAACTCTTGACTGTCCAAAAGCTTCAAAGCCCTCAAAAGGTGCGTGCTCCCGCGTCTGACAATCTGCAAGTCCTGCCCAGCCAAGTCCCACGGCACCTCTCCCTCGGCTCCCCGCGGCAGGAGAGGCGTGGGCATCCGAGCTCTGGCCCGGGGTGGGAGCTGCCGTTCGGGGCAGCCCCGAGGGACGCGGCCCCGGCCGCCTGGGACTAGTCACCGCCCGCTGCTCCGCTCGGCTCCGCGGAACCCGCCTCCGCCTTGCTGCCGGCCTCGGGCGACTCCTTGTCCCCGCGGCCCTCGGATTTCTTGTTGAAGCAGACCTTGAACACCCCCAGGACGGTCATGACCAGGATGACCAGCACCACCACCGCGACCGTCACCAGGACGAAAACGTAGTTGGAGGAGGAGGAGGGCAGCGGAACAGCCGTCTTCTGTCCGCCGGCGGTCGCGGTGGTAGCGGCGGGCGGCCCCGCGGAACTACCAGGTGTCGGGATGGAGGGATGCCGCCCCTCTGCCCCGGCACCCGGCGACCCGGCGGGGCCGCCTGCGGCGGTGGGGGCCGCTCCTGTGCCCGGGCAGGGAGTCCCGTCCAGCCCGCCCGAGGTGCAGACACAGGCGAAGCCACCGGCGGCATCGCGGCACCCGGCGGCCTCGGCGCACTGCCCGCTGCCGGGGCTCTGGCGGCCCCAGGGGCAGGGGCAGAGGGGCTCCTCTGCCGCCTTCCAGGCGAAACCTCCCGGATCGGACTGGCACGTGAGCTGCACCTCCCCGCCGGGGCACGCCACGGTCAGCACAGTGCCCGGCGGGCTGAAGCCGGGGCCGGCGCTACCCTCCCCGAAGGGGAGGCGATAGTCGAGGTTGAGAGCGCCCGCGGGGCTGAGATCGGGACAGGCGCCCTCGTACTGGTACTTGCAGACGTAGCCTGGGCTCTCCCGATGGCAGACCCGCTCCTCCCAGCCCCAGCTGGGGCTGCTCTCGGGGACGGCCACCAGGTGCAGCCCAGCGCAGCGCGCACTGAGGCAAGACCGCACGGGCTCCTTCACCCACCGGTCGAGCGCCACCGGCACCTCGTGCGGAGCCGTCCCGCCCCCGACGCCCTCCCAGGTGAAGCCGCGGAGCGGATGCTCCGCATGGGTGCAGGTGGAGACGTTCCTCTTCAGCCCGACCCAGAGCAGCGCCGGCGCCGCCGCCTCTGCCAACAGCCCCAGCAGCAGGCGCAGCTCCGGCTCGCCGCTGACCCAGGCGAGGCCGCCCCGCCGCTGGCCGCAGGCGCCGCTGGCCGCGGGGTAGGAGGCGTTGTCGAGGTGGGCGCTGAAGCAGGTGCCGGCGGGCGAGCAGCGCACCGCGGCCCGCGGCGGCGGCGGGGGCCGGCTCAGGGCGCAGGCCGCGGCCAGGAGCAGGTACCAGGGCCCAGCCCGCCTCATGCCGGCGGCGCGGGGTGCCCGGCAGCTCTGGTGGCGTTCGGCCACGGCTCGGACTGGCCCCCGCCGTACCCGCGCCCACGGCCCTCCCCCGGGCCTGCCGGAGGAAACGTGTCGGGGGCCAGCGCTGACCTCGGCATCCTCCGTCTGTTGGAGGGCGGGGGACAACTAGTTCGCTGAGCTGCCTGGAAGCGCTCGCCCGTCCCGATGGGCGGGTGTCCAGCCGCGGGGGAGGACGATGCCAGCAGTGCTGCCGGAGGGGCCAAAGGGTGGCGAAGCCCAGAGCCACAGCTCTGGGACGGAGGTCACTGGCCCCGTCTCAGGCCCGTGTTCCCGAGATGCCCGGGCCCGTCTTAAAAGCTTCTTGTAGAGCACTTCAGGAGAAAAGCAGTCCAGCTTCAGTGATCTCTTCCTTGAAGGATAGAGGCTTCTGGGTTAGGTGTGGCTGTGCAATCAACTCCTTAGCTCTCCAGATATGAAGTGATTTAACACTTAAAAAAACTGATTCAGCTTATGGTTTTCCAGCAGGTTGGCCTAAGTGCATCTCACATTAGGTGCCAGCGATGACTTCCAGTAGGTTGTTCTTGAATGAGTTTAGCTGTTCCACTGTAACTGCTTCTCTGTATGCAGTCCCTATATCACCTCGTTTTTATGCTCCTTACTGTTATTTCTGTATGCTGTTATCTGATGCATACATTCAGATACAGCACACGTCCAAGTTTCTTCCGCAAGTATTTTATGTGGCACAAAACTGCAGGCATATGTGTGCCCTTCATTTTTCCAGCTTTTACTTTGGAAGAACCCCTGTTAATGTTTTTGGTTTTGTGAGTGTCATATAATAAAAATTTCTAGAGTTTGAATCCCCAGGGGGGAAAGGGGCGGCAAAGGAGGAAAAAGCAGGAAATAAATAATCAATATGGATTTTTTAAAAAGTGGAGTTCCTCAGTAGTTGCAGTCCATTGAAGCATGAGTTCTACAGTCTTTGATCGAGGTTCCAGGTGGACTCAGTCTTGCACAAAGTGCCCTCACTGCTCCAGTATGCTTTTAGGCTCTGCATCTTTTCATCCCTTGCTTAAGAATTTAATTTTTCTTTGGAAGGAATAAATGTGGATAACAAGTCCTATTCAGCCAGCTTGTGATGAGCCTGCACAGATTGCAGACTCTAGGCCTACCTGAGATGGAACACATGTTCTCTGGACACCTCAAAGAATTAGAAAGATTAGAAAGACACACTCTGTGATGAAGCTCCGAAGCAATATAAGAAATAATTTTTTTACACTAAGAACGATGATTGACCAGAACAACCTTCCCAGGGGCGCGATGGAGTCCCCATCACTGCAGGTTTTCACGATGCAGTTGGACAGTGTGCCAGATGACAATCTCATCTAGGCTCCCTTTCCCACAAAAGTTTGGACCAGGTGATCTTTCAGGATCTCTTCCAACTTGAACAATTATATGATTCTATGAGAAGTACAATAATTTAAATACTTATTTCAGATTTATATAAAAATACAAAAAATCAAAGAGCCTGTCCCCAAAATATGCATCTATTAGTTACTTCATTTTTGCTAGATGTTTCTACATCCCCACTGGATATCACATGTACAGAAATTCTGTTTATTGCAAGAATTGTAGTTGTAAGAATTAACAAAGCAACATCAACATTTTGAAATACATGAAATAGATGAAGTTGTTTAGAGCCAAACTGAATTTACACATTCATAACTTTTTAGTTAAGAACTTGTTGGTTTACTTCTAGATGAAATCAGATTTTTTTTTTAATCAAGATGTAGAGATGGTAACAGCAACCCACCTGAAAATCTACAGTGTTCTAGCAGCTGTGTTTTCAGAGCTCTGCTGCCTACAGGAATTGTCACTCCTGCATTGAATCTTCTCCACAGTGCATCAGGACAGAGACCTTGAACCACATGCCTGTGTGGGTCAGCACGTGGAGATTCTCACCATCTACCTATGCTTTAAGTTGGAAAGATGCAATTCATTTTGCATCAGGAAGCTATATCACCTTGTATTTAGATCTCTGGTTCTTCACTGGGTCTAGTTTTAAATGCACCCAAACTAAGTGAACTGTTTCTTTAGCCCTTTGGTTTTCTTGAGGATGTACAAAAGCTGTGCTTCTGCATGTACCTTAGTATCTTGAGCCATTTTCCCCAAGTCTGGTTGATAGGTTTGGAAGAGAAGAGAGGGTACTACAGCTTTACTATTGCTATCTTGCTGGGGAATGCTTACAAGACTTTGCCTAATATTCTACTGTAATCCTACAGCTTCAGTTTGTTTTCTCTTTCAAAATTGAGTTCATTTATTATAGCTGAATAGAAGCTAAATTTTATAAATAGAAGGGATAATCTAGAAGCCCCAAAATTTCCATGTTATGCTTCAAACCTAAAACTCTGTCCCTGGGGAGAAGAATGCGGCTCAGTCCATGAAAACAGTTGCTCCCTTGCTTTTCATCTCAGCTGTCAACAAGGGCATGATTTGAGCTGTCTGGGATTATCTCTCCACTGGGTAATTGATGGCTACTACAGGCTCATTTCACACAGGCCATGACTTTAATTTCCTAGGCTATATTTGAACCAGCAAACTGGCAAACCAGTGTAGAAACAACAGGCTAGCCACCAGTGCCCTGGGCACTCCAGTCTCGGAGGAGCTCACAGTGCACAGAAAGATGAAAACACTGCGTGCCAAAGCCAAAGGCTTTCACCAGCAGGATATAGAGGCAGTTGCTTTGTGTCTACTTTATCTGCCTGTACACCTGCTCTTCTCTCCTCTGGCTGCCCCTGAGAGTCCTACAAAATATTTTTAAAATAACAGGTCTTCTAGATTTGCAGAAAACAGCTCTTCCTCTGGTTTGTATTGTTCTTCCTAGTTCTTACTTTTAAGTATAAAAGAATTCACTCTTTCATTAAGTGTCTTCATGGGGCTTTGTCTGAAGATACCATTTTTTGTAAGAGAGCATTAGTTACACACAGATGCTGGTACCAGTCTGTGCGTGATGTGACTACATATAAAGAAGTCTTTATTACACAAATGTGAATGTTCTGATTGATTGATGAACTCTAATGTAGCTGTTTTTCTTAGCAGTAAAAGCCTTATTTAGGTGTAGTCATTCCTTAGTCTTTTTCCTGTGTAGATCTGAGTCCTTGAAAAAACAGTTGCTTGCTTTAATTGGAATTTTATTAAAAGCCATTAGGTTATTTCTGTTTCATTGTGTATACTGTATCTGTCTTATTATAATATGTACATTTTTACTAAGGAGTGATGAGAGAAGCACTGAATTAATAAAACTACTTTTCTCTTTTAGAGTGGATTCCTTTTGCATTTTTATAAGGTAAATTAAAGCTATTCTTTTTGCAACTAACCAGGAAATATGTCAGCCATATACCAGTACATACTTTGCTACTGCTGGGACCTAAGAGGGTGTATTTTCATTAGAAGTAGTCTTGTAGAGAGATACAGTATCCTGATCTTACTAAGAGCCATATTTTGCTTCTCGGAGGTAAATGGATGGTGCAGTAATTTCTCATCCCCAGATGGGATATAGGAAACTGTTTGGAAATGGACCTGTGTACCCATCATGCCACAAAACCTGGGTGCAGTGTCTAACAGAAGAAGCAGCTGCAGCATCTCTGTTCTGCTAGTTTAAAGAAGGGCTGTTGATAAAGCTCCATTTATCCCCCGTCCTGTACAGGTAAACTTACTGTCATCTGTTGGGTGATAGAGATTTCTTTTGGGTTGGTAACTGTGGAGAGGGAGCAAGAAAGGAAAAAGATCAATAGGATGGCAGCATTGCCTGCTTGCACATCTCCAACATTTTAGCTTGCTGCAGCCTTGTGGAGTCTACACCAGTTGGCGATGGACAGGCTGCACTGTCCCTATGAGCCCTCTCCTTCCCTCTGGTCCCAACCCATATCTCTACTGGATCTAGACATCCTGCTGAATTTTTTGTGGATGAAGTCAAAAGTTACTCCCTATCATTCAGTGTTCTACTAAGATATGGGTAATAATTTAAATAACAGAATATAAACACATATTTATAACAAGTGAGGATTGATGTCATTTGACAGTGTGCGTCAAAAATTATGAGTTAAATCCTCATTTCCTCACTGTTTCATGAAATTGATATCTATATGTAAGAAGTGATTTATCAAATAATAAGGCAGCCCTACATTTCACATGTAACTTGTGTTTAAGTGAAGAAAAGTATTTTCTCACTAAACGGTTATTTTCTTCTTTAAGAAAATGCCTAAACTTTAAAAATAAGATATTCCTGAAGTCAATGAGAACTATCTCATTTCAACAGTGTGACAAGATTTGCATGAATTTCTCTGCACTCAGACAAACTTGCAACAGAGAGTAAAAATGCCAATTGGAATCCAGCATGCTTTGGTTACTTTTCCAGGTAATAGGATAGGAAATGAAAATATGAATTTTTGTCTTATTGTAGCAACTTGCATGATTGTAAGAATTTAATTATTCACCTCTCAAAACGACCTCATAGATTACAAGGTTCTCTTACAGAGTTTGGAAAAGATAACCCAGTAGGGGTCATGCAAGTTCTTGTGTATTGTAATAACAATTTCCAATGACATTATTACATAGCTATGGGACTTTTAATAATAAGGAATAATATTTAACTGATGTTATGAACATAGTAGTATATTTGTTATGTTTATGACATGGACATAAAATATAACTAATCTGTACTTGGTAGGGGGACATTTAGTAGGTGAACTGTGGGTCCCTTCCAACTCAGAATATTCTGTGAAATTTGTGAAACCTGTGACATGGCTGCAGCATTACCCAATATGCATATGTTCTCCTTGAAGCCTGTTCAGTTTAGATGTTCATGTTTCCATTACTAATTATGCATTCCATTCATCTTTAATGAGTTAAGAAAGATTCCAGGGAGAGGAGAAAAAGGAGGGGAGGGAAGGGGAGGAGAGGAGAGGAGAGAGAAGAGGAAGAGCCAAGGGGAGTGGAGAGGAGAGAGAAAAGAGAATAAGGCTAAGAATGCAGGGTAAGTAGAGGGAATAGAGAGCTACAGCACAGGATAAAATGAGTAGGCAGGAAAACAGGGAGTAGACACAGAAAGAAAAGAATAGGGAAGAAATCTAAAGAAAAG